GTCTGGGCAACGACGGCCGAGACATGTACATGGAGTCTGAGGGAGGCGACGGGTACCTTGCTCCAGAGAACGGGTATTTGATGGAGGCTGCGCCAGAGTGAACAGGGCCTCTGTTTTATTTGGACGTGTTCCTCCCCCCCCTTGCTGTCAGCCTCTCCCCGAACCTTGGCCGCCACCTAAGTTTGCCAGCCAAGGGTAGGAGTCTTCTTATTTGTTCTGGTCCTTTGGATTTAAAAATAAAAATTAATTTCATGTTGATAATGGGCACCTTGGTTTCTTCTTCACTGCTCTTAATATTTTCCCCAGAAGGTTGTCACCTGACTTTTGATGGCCCTACTGTGGTTTGTGTTCCAGCTTTATGACCTAAGGCTGGGGCTCTCCCCAGTACAGCAGAGCTGTGTAAAATGGGGTAAGGAAGTCCTCTCTAGGGGTCCTTGATCCCTTTGTGTTTTTCTTCCTCCTCTTGTTAGGTCTCCCACACGTTCCCTGTGGGGCTGTTCATACCCTATTTGGTGGGAGGGTGAGGCTGCAGGCGCTAGATCACTCAGTGGAAGCTGCAACTTTGAATGTGTGAAATGGAAGCTGTTGTCTGAGTCGGAGAGCAGGAAAAAGGGCGAGGAAATGAAATATGGGAGCAAGATAGAAGGATAAGATTGGGTAGAGCAGAAAGTCTGCACAGGGCCAGGAGAGAAAACTGCCTCCAGTTCACCTTTTGATTTTACTTCATACTTCCTAATGATAGTAGCAGAATAACCAGAAACGCAGAAGTTCCATCAGCAGTTGGGATTTCAGCACATTTCTGGACAGAAGATTAAATAAGACGATGGTGAGAACACTTCAGTCTGGTGACCATTTGAGAAGGAAGCCAGTGAGCCTTGCAGAGCCCTAGAGAGACGCCTGACTGCAACTCCAGGTATAACGACAGTAGGGGACTCGATGGAGACTGTACACAAAACGGTTGCCCTCTGTTTCAGCACTCAGGATGCCTGGGAGCTGGGCATTTGCTTTCTAGGGAAATGCAAGACCAAAATGCTTTGTCTTTTAGAAGTTTCTCAGCCTAAAGGCAGACTTGGCCTCAAAACCTAGAGGCAGTCTGTCAGTTAAATCTGACTGACCCACACAAGGATCCTGGTATGCTTTTTAGCTGCCTGAGTCCTTATAAGCATACCAAACCAAAGACCACAGGCATTTGAGAAAATCCAGCAACGAGACCACAAGATAAATAGAAAAACTGGTCCTGGAAGAAACAATTGAGGGAATAAAAGAGAACTTAATACCCCTAATTAGTATGCTCATAGATACCCCAGATACTGCAATTAGACTTGTGGAACTGGCTACAAAGAACAGCCCATTTTGAACTAACCTAGCACAGATCAGTTACATAAAGATTGGACACAATATATATGAACAACTTGTGAGAGGCATTGGGGAGCAACTGTTGTAGGCCAGACTTGAGGGGGAGAGCACACAGAGGTGAACTTCATATTGACCCTCGCTGTTTCCTTGAGGACAGCTGCCAATTTAGCCTGGGGGAATACATGCAAAGGGGCAGTCCTCCACTGGGCTAGCGTCACAGAGCTTGCACCAGAAAGCTGGCTAAAGTTCCCAGATGGGGCATTGAGCCCCCAAATCTACATGCAATCTCCTGTCAAGGCATTTGCCAACTCCTAAGCTGCTGGTTGTCCTTGCACGACCCCCAAGGGACTCATCAGAAAGCAATAACGAGGCTAAGGAGCTGAGCAGAGATCTCGGCAGCCATGCACTTCTGGAGGCGACAGGTTTGGGTCCAAGGCCTGCCAAGGTGGAGTGGCCATGCTTGAGGTCTCCAGAGAGACACATCATTTGAAGTAAGGCCACAAGTGAAATAGACCAGGCCTAAGAAAACCTAAAATCAGACCTCATGATTTAGGTGATCTGCCTGCCAGAAGAAAACTTAACCTAACTCTTTGGAGGAAGATACCATTCAGATCCGCTATGATTTTTAGCACACAACGCTCAGTGACTACTCAGAAATTATCAGGTATTATCAGGTATGCTAGAAAGAGGACTTGAATTACAAAAAATAGACAATACAAACAGACCCAGACATGATTCCGATGTTGGAGTTATCAAGACTGAAATAACTACGTGTTCACAAAATAAGGAAAAGATGGAGAATTGTAACAGAGATCTGGAATCTTTTTTTAAAAAAAGCCAAATGGGGGTCCTGCCTGGTGGCATAGTGGTTAAGTTCACACACACCACTTTGGCATCCCTGGGGTTTGCAGGTGCAGATCCTGGGGCGTGGACCTACACACCACTCATCAAGCCATGCTGTGGTGACGTCCCACATACAAAATAGAGGAAGATGGGCACAGACGTTAGCTCAAGGCCAACCTTCCTTGGCAAAAAAAGAGGAAGACTGGCAACAAATGTTAGCTCAGGGCCAACCTTCCTCACCACAAAAAAGCCAAATGGAAATTTTAGAACTGGGAAACAATAACTCAAATTAAGAATTTAGTGCATTTGGTGGTTGACTAGATACTACATAACCTGAAACATTCCTGTTATAAACACTAGAAGTGCTAGGGAAAATAAAGAATTAGACAAACTTCCTTGAAAGTAAGAGAAATCTTAGAATCTTTTTAGGAGGTTAACTGAGGATATACTTCATCAAAATGAGGGATTTTTTTTTTTTTTTTTTTGAGGAAGATCAGCCCTGAGCTAACATCCATGCTAATCCTCCTGTTTTTGCTGAGGAAGACTGGCTCTGAGCTAACATCTATTGCCAATCCTCCTTTTTTTCCCCAAACCCCCAGTAGATAGTTGTATGTCATAGTTGCACATCCTTCTAGTTGCTGTATGTGGGATGCTGCCTCAGCATGGCCGGAGAAGCGGTGTGTCGGTGGGCGCCCGGGATCTGAACCCAGGCGGCCAGCAGCAGAGCACGTGCACTTAACCGCTAAGCCACGGGGCCGGCCCCAAAATGAGAGATTTAAAAGAGGAAACCACAAAGTCTGGCCTGGTGTCATAGTGGTTAAGTTCGTGCACTCCACTTTGGTGGCCCCAGAGTTAGCCAGTTCGAATCCTGGGTGTGGACCTACACACTGCTCATCGAGTCATGCTGTGGCAGTGTCCCACATACAAAATAGAGCAAGAAGGGCACAGATGTTAGCTCAGGGCGAATCTTCCTCACCAAAAAAGAAAAAAAAAAAAAACCAGATCCAGTTTAGCAGAGCAGTGGAGGGTAGTCCTAAAATGGCAGGTTCTAGAGAGTCCAGATTGGGGTCAGAGGACTGAAGTTTCCAAAGAGTTTCAGGATAAAAAGATTCAGTAAAATATCTGTTGTGATGGAGAGTTTGAAAGAAATTGAGAATGTAATGAAGCAAAAATAGAACTCACAGAAAAAACCAGAAGCTGTTCAAGAAAGGAAATGTCATCACAGAACACTCCCTGGGCTCTGCAGTAAACAGTGAGTACTTAGACATAACGTGAGCACTTTATAGACTGACCTAAAAGCTAGTACCATAAAACTACCACGGGGGAGAGGGAAAAGGTGGTAAGAGCAGAAAATCAATATGTAATACATTACTAACGTTGAAAATTGAGAAATAGCATGTTCCTTAAACAAGCAACTAGCAGATTAAACATCTCTAAGTCATTGCCTCTTGCAGTGGGCAGAGTTAGGACAGGGACAGGGGCTGGTGCTTTTCAATATTAGCCCTTCTGTATCATTTGATTTTGTTCTTAACTCTGTAAATACGTTATTTTTTGTTAAAATTAGAAGAGAAAAGTACTATGAAGGAGAGGGATAGACAGACCTGCTTTCAGTCCTCGCACTTTCCTGGGCTCCATATCCCCATCCGGCTAATGGGGCAGCAGCCAGACTTCTCCACGCTCCTGTCTACATTTCTTACATTTCTTTAGAGGCCTCTCTAGAGAATCTGATACCACTGCCCACTTCCTTTTTCAAAACACTCTCTTCTCATGGTTTCTCCTACCTGCTTATCTTTCTACCTTTCTGGCCATGCTTTCGCTTCCTCCTGACTTTTAGATTTTATTTATTTTATTTCCCCCCAAAGCCCCAGTACGTAGTTGTATGTCATAGTTGCACATCCTTCTAGTTGCTGTATGTGGGACGCGGCCTCAGCATGGCTGGAGAAGCGGTGCCTCAGTGCGCGCCCAGGATCCGAACCCGGGCCGCCACCAGCGAAGCGCGTGCACTTAACCGCTAAGCCACGGGGCCGGCCCCCTCCTGACTTGTAAAGGTTAGGAGTGTGGAGGACTCAGTCCTAGATCCTCTTCATTCTATATTCTGCCCCCAGCATTCTTGTCCACTCTTACGGTTTTATTTACCACCTTTGCCCAGATTCCCCAAACTGCTTGGATACTGCACAGGCTCCTCAAATTCAAAATAGCCAATATCCCTCCTCCAGCATAGACCATCTTAGCAAAAGGCCCCGCAAGCAACTTAATACCCACTTCTCCACTTCCCAGTCCTCATAACCAAGACATGTCCAGACACCCCCAAATCTGTCCACTTCTCTCTCCTCCATGCCTCTGCCCTGGTCCAAGCCTTCACCGGGTTGCTGGATAGCCTCCTCACTGGTCCCCGCTTCCACTCTCCCTCCCGTCCAATCCCCCGTGGCCACAGTGATTTTAAGCACACATTTGAATAGGACATTTTACTCTTAGGAGTTACCATGAAGTCCAAAATCCTCAACACGGGTATGCCAACACACAAGGCCATGCATAAACTGTATCCTGCCAACCGTTTAATCATAAACCACCCCAATCCTCATTCTGCTGACCAGCCATGTGGGCTCTTTCTGCCTGGAAAGTGACCCACGCCCCACCTCAAGGACTCTGTCAGTGTCCCTCCTAGATCGTCACCTCCCCTCTCCCAATTCTGATCACAGTCGTAGTTGGTTGTCCACCTCCCGCCTCCCATAGACTAGGTTCCAGGAGGGCAGTGGGCTTATCTGCTCTGCTCACCATCGCGTCCATCACCTTGGGCCCAGATGTTTAACACACGTTTGTCCAATGAATGTGGAAAAAAGGATAGAAAGGTGAGGCGTGCAGGGCAGACAGACAGAGGCTGCAACAGGAGGGGTGGCAAACCGGGCCGACTGACGCGGGCTGAGGCAGGGCGGCTAG